TTTATACAGGAGCACAAAACATAGTAGTCAAAGAAATCCTAAGAAAGAAAAACAAAGCAGGAAGCATTAAACTTAATGATTTCAAGTTACACTATAAAGCTATAGTCCTCAAAACAGTATGATACTGGCATTTGGTGTGGGGGGGGGGTATGTGCAAAGCATTAAATTTAATTTTCATAGAGGCAATGTGTCTTTTTCACATTCATATTTCATTGTTTTATGTAATTTTTAAATTAAAAAATAAAACTGTAATAAGTACAACAAAATTGGCTGTATTCCAGTAAATATTTAATACAACTGGTAGGAATAACCGTAGGCACAACTAGAAAGTAGCTTTAAGGAAACTGTAAGCTTTCAGAAACAGGAGGCTCTGACAGGCTGAAGGTTAGGGTAGAAGACAGAGAGTGATTAAAAATGGCTTTGAGGGGCGCCTGGGTGGCGCAGTCGGTTAAGCGTCCGACTTCAGCCAGGTCACGATCTCACGGTCCGGGAGTTCGAGCCCCGCGTCGGGCTCTGGGCTGATGGCTCGGAGCCTGGAGCCTGTTTCCGGTTCTGTGTCTCCCTCTCTCTCTGCCCCTCCCCTGTTCATGCTCTGTCTCTCTCTGTCCCAAAAATAAATAAACGTTGAAAAAAAAAATGGCTTTGAGGGGCACCTGGGTGGCTCAGTTGGTTAAGCCTCTGACTCTAGATTTTGGCTCAGGTCATGATCTCACAGTTCATGGGTTCCAACCCTATGTCACGCTTCTTGCTGACACTGCAGAGCCTACTTGGTATTCTGGCATGCGCGCTCCCTCTCTCCCTCTCTCCCTCTCTCCCTCTCTCCCTCTCTCCTTCTCTCTCTCCCTCTCTCTGCTCCTCCCCAGGTTGCATGTGCAGTCACTCTCTCTCTCTCTCTCTCTCTCTCTCACTCACTCAAATAGATAAATAAACATAAAAACAAAAGTTTAGGGATTCCAAGTTTGAGAGGAATAGGGATACCACTGTAAGCAAAAGAGAAGTCATTGGGAGGAGATGCTGTTGAAGAAGACACACAGAGTTTGAGGTAAGGTGGGATTTAGGAGTTACCATGTTCATTCTTTTAAACATCCAGGAGATCAGTGTTCTCAAAAAACCAGAAGTACAAATTTCCATATATCTCCCTGAGAAGACAGCTGGATAGGCAAGCTGAAATATACATAATTTATGCTTATGTATTTAAAACTAACTTGAGTCTCTGTTAACTTGTTTACATAGTCAATGCATTAGTTATGGAATAGATTTGTGTTTGGGTAGCAAAATAAAAAACGTCTTGAAGCACGAATGGGTTATATACATAAGACACTGTGCTTTTATGTGATTTTTCTATGTCTGCAAAATATCCCGCATTTATTACAGCCATGCCACTCCATGACGTTGCTTTGTGTAGTTCAAGGTGTCACTCCCGTTCAGTTGGTTTCAACAACACATTACTCCTTCAAGACTGTATCCTTGAAGATGGCTCCCTCTGTGGGAATGGTGTGTAGAACATACATTCCAAGGTCAAGGAGAAGTTGAGAAGCCTCTGATTGCCTGAGTGTAGCTCACAGGTCAACCAGTGGTCACATCCTCTTGATGACCTCCTCCACCATTGTTACAGAACCAGACTGGAACCCTGGCAGAAAAACCAAGTGGCACCAGAGATCTTGGTGGATGGGGGATTTATTTAACACCACTGGGCTCAGAGGAGACCATTTCTCCGAAGATCTGAGCTCTGAATGAAGGGGGGAGCGTTAATTGATGGTTGTAAGCTTCCATATCTGCGGCAGGTTTTCATGCCTATGGCAAACAGGGCAAGAAGAACTGGGAAGAGGGGTCTCTAAGCTAGAGACCAGAGCTTGTTTTAGTCCCATTGGCCATCTTATGGCGGAAAACTATTCGTTTTCCCAACACCATAAGTTCACTCCTTTGTCAGTTTATTCTGTTTCTTTCAACCTCCCATCTGTTTATTTAAAAAGATCCAGGGTCCCCAGACAATCACAAATAGGTTCTGTATTTGGCCATTACATTGATCTTTCTTAGTTAATAGCTACTCAGGACCATTTTGTGTTGACCATAGTCCCCTTCTCAATATCCAAGCTCTAATTATTTTGAGCCATGATTTTGCTGTAGTTTTATATGTATTTTCATTAGCAATTCCAGAATTTCATGAGTAATGGGAAAGGACTCTTGAAACAATTTTTATGAAAACAAAATAATAACCAATGAACCATTTCTGAAACCCTGTGAGGTTTTTTCCTGAGGAATAATAATAATAAATAATACTGATATTAGTATTACATTAATATTTATTATTATTGTTAATTATTACTGTTTGTCTCTTCTAGTCAAATAGACACAGTGCTGAGGAATTCCACATGTAAAACAAACGAAGGACCTTTGCATTCAAGATTTTCTGAAAAAAATTAAAAACAATCTAATCCATATATCAACATAGCACAGTTCAATACTGATGGGGTTCAGGGCAGACTACCCCAAAATCTGCTACTCTGGCATATTGATTATTTTGAATTAAAGTTGCTTAAGAAATAGCCCCTAGAAAAGGAACACTCCGACTGTCCTTTGCCTAAAATCAGGAAATAAATTCCCCCAAGTGAAAGGTGTCCTCCTGGAGGGTAGAAGGCATCCTGACTACCACAGATATGAACTCAGGGTGGAGAAGCCGTATAAAGAAATACTGTTAGGGGCACCTGGGTGGCTCAGTCGGTTGAGCAGCCAACTTCGGCTCAGGTCACGATCTCGCAGTCCGTGAGTTCGAGCCCCGCGTCGGGCTCTGTGCTGACAGCTCGGAGCCTGGAGCCTGTTTCAGATTCTGTGTCTCCCTCTCTCTGACCCTCCCCCATTCATGCTCTGTCTCTCTCTGTCTCAAAAATAAATAAGCATTAAAAAAAATTTTTTTAAAAAAAAGAAATACTGTTATTTCATTAACTTGCTACACCAAGCTCAAACTTCTTTGTCTTATCAGCACTTCACAAATTGTTTCTTTGTCTAAAAGGTATAAAAGCTGCCTGCTTTGGTCAGTTCTTTGAGTTTTATATCCTTCTGAGCACATACAAAAGTAAAATTTGTTTTTTGTTTTTTCTCTTGTTAACCTGTCTTGTGTCAACTTAATTATGAGACCAGCCAAAAAAACTTGAAAGTGCAGAAAAGAAAAGTTTTCCTCTCTTGGGGTGCTGACTCATTTGGTCAGAGATAGTCTGGAACGATGTTAGTAGACAGCAATCTCACTCTTGAGAGGTAGAGAGGAGGATTGCTTTAGGATATTCCCAAAGGATGTTTGCTCCAGAAGAAAAATGTGTTACAGAAACACTATAGCTAACAACTTCCCTAATGTGGAGATAGAAATAGACATCCAAATCCAGGAGGCACTGAGAACTCCCATCAAAATCAACAAAAGCCAGGCAACACAGACACATTTCATTGTCAAATTTGCAAAACACGGAGATAAGGAAAGAATCCTGAAAGTTGCAAGGGAAAAGCAATCCCTAACCCACAAGGGATGACAAATAAGGTTAACAGCACACCTCTCCAAAGGGAGTGGCATGATATATTCAGTGTGCTGAATGGGAAAAATATGCAGCCAAGAAGACTTTATCCAGGAAAGCCAAGAATACTTTATCCAGAAAATACTTTATCCATTCCAGCTATTGTAGTCGGGGGGAAAAAAAAAACCCAGAAAATCTATCCAGGATGGAAGGAAAGATAGAGTTTGCCAGACAAAAACTAAGGGAGTTCATGACCCCTAAGCCAGCTCTGTAAGAAATATTAAAGGGGACTCTTTGAGCAGGAAAGACAAAACCAAAAACAATGATTAGAAAGAAAATCTCCAGAAACAGTGACTTTACAGGTAATACAATGGCATTAAATTCATATCTATCAATAATCACTCTGAATGTAAATGGGCTAAATGCTCCAGTCAAAAGAAACACTATAGTAGTAATTCTCAAATTTGAATGTGAATCAGAATCTCTTCCTGGAGGGCTTATTAAAACAAAGGCTGCTGGGGCCCACAAAGTTTCTAGTTCAGAAGGTCAGGGGTGGAGCCCAGGAATCTACATTTCCAGTAAGTCTCTAGGTGATGCTGATGCTACTGGTCCAGGGACACCACTTTGAACAGTCTCTGGAAAGATAGATTAGTATGAGGCAGGAACAAGAAACAGAAAATTTTGCTTCCAGTTTCTTTCAATTTCAGTGGTTCACAGGTTAATGTTCATAAAACAGAATTTTATTCATACTTACAATTTGCTCAAAAATTTCACTTTTTAGTCTTCTAAATAGTCACAACAATTAACTGGGCACTGAAAATCATTAGCAGTGTCCCTAACCTTTCACCTAAGTTCTTGACATACTAGTCCATTTAGTGGCTGTCAAAAAAATTTCTAAGCTTTTATGCTTTACATGTCCATCTTATCTGTTATCCTTTGGATGTATTCCTCTCCTCACCATTATTTTTCCCTTCCAAACTCCAACCCCCTCTTGAAGACTCAACTAAATTCATTTTCCTTCATTACATTTTCTCAGTTAAAGTGATAGCTTCTCACTTACTACATATTTATATGTACTTTGTCGATTGTATTGTGCAAAACGTTTCATTCCTACCTATTGTAATTAGGGGAAAAAAACCTAAATACTTATGTAGTGTTATGCCCAGAATTCGTGATCCCCAAAGACCACTAGGGAGCCGAGTCCGATGCAAAAGCAAAGAGCCTTTATTCGAGCTAGCTCGAGCTCAATCCCCTACCTGCACCGACGCAGCGGTGAGATACCAGGGAAAGAGAGCGAGTTTCAAAAGGACAAAGGTTTTATTGGGGCCTGGGGGCAGTTGGTGAGGTAATGGCTGTGGCCTCAGCCGATTGGCTGGGGAAGGGTCCGAGTCCTGTTAGGCAGGTGGGGGGGGGGGGTTCTCAAGGGGAGGAGGTGTGGTCAAGGTGAAGGACACAGAACAAGATGGAGTCGGCCGGCGTAGGCCCGCCCTTTCAGTAGCATTTATTTTGTGGCAGGTTTTCAAATCCTCGGATCCACCCTATGAGACAGATATTATTATATCCATTTTACAGACAATTTACTTCTCTATAGTTCATTTTACTTTAAATTTAAGTTACATGATGTCAAACATGTGATTTAAATAAATTTGTGTTCCCCCAGAGTACCCATCACAGTGCCTTGCAAATAATAATGTTTATTAAAATAATTGCTGCATTTAAGATAGTTTCCTTTGGGTTCCTATAAACCAGTGATGATGAAATATTCATGTATTAGTTCTACAGGCTTCTCTGTGAGCTCAATTCTGATTACTAGGAATGACAAGTTGATGTGAGGGTATAAAGACCTGCTTGTCTGTCCTCAGTGCAGAACAACTCCAAAGGGTCCATTGAGTCCAGAACTCCCATGGAATGGGCTGAAGCCTTTGCTGAGATTGCATTGGAGTTCAACCTCCCCTTTTACCCAGTTCTGCTTCTTTTACTCTCTCTCAGGTGTTGACCTCAGGGGCTTTCCCTAGTAAACTTCCTGCATACGTTCCATGATTCCAGAATCCCTTTCCTGTAAAACCCAAATGAAGACAAAAGGAAAATGGACAGATGAGATTTATTAACTTTTACTTTTTTAGAGACAACATTTTAGAGTGGAAATTAAACATGCTTTCTAATCAGAGACATTGGAGTTTTTTAGGTATCATCTCAGGGAAGTTCCTTTATCTCTCGGAGCCTGTTTTCTCATCTTGGAAGAGTGATTTGACTGGAGGTTGAAGACCATCCTACCGCAGTACTTGACAAAATACAGGCGCTCTGTACAGGGAGGCGTATACGTGGGTAATGGTGAATCACTAGAAGGCTAAATATCTGGAGCACATTTTCTGAACCACCCCCAGATGTGCTTTTTATTAATTGTGTTGTAATACTATGGCTTGATTTGTATTAAAGCTTCCACTTAAGGAAGCCACATGAATTCCAAGTTACTCAGTGTTCCAGGAGTGAGAGATTCCCTCAGTTGTGGGAGTAGGAGCAGTTTTTACAGCATGAGATTTACAGCATGACTGGGATTTACGAATCTTCATCTCAGACAATGACAGTTACGTAACATCCCCGATTCCTGTTTCGCAGTGGCTTCCAAGCCCGAGAGCCTGGCTCTGTGTTGTCACAATATTGGTGTTGACCTGCTCAGTTTTGCTGTTCTTCCTTGACCCAGTTTTCTCCTTCCATTATCTGATTTAATTGTTATGGCCTTGGCATTTTATTATAAACCACCATTTTAGAAAGTGTTGGGGTAAGCATATATTGATGTCCAAGATTCTGATCTTGAATCTTTCCCACAGTAAGTGCAATCTGCATTTCTGTGAACTGATCAATCTTTCCCAATAATCTCTGTCCATGATTCACCTTTGTGTTTCATTTACAGCCACTTCAGCTTGCACTCTATATTCAGCTATCATACCTGAGGCGAGCACCAACCCCAAACACCTGCTACTGTGTAGTTAGTACTTATTATGTACTAAGCGTTATATTAAATACTTTACAAAGGGCGGTCTCTGGACCAGAAGTGTCAGCATCCCTGGGAAACTTGTCAGAAGCTCAAATTCAGGGGTGCCTGGGTGGCTCAGTCGGTTGAGCGCCTGACTTCGACTTGGGTCATGATCTCGCAGTTTGTGGGTTCCATTCCCATATTGGGCTCCGGGTGGGGCCTGCTTCAGATTCTCTGTCCCCCTCTCTTCCTGCCTCTGTCCCGCTTGCACTTGCTTTCTCAAAAATAAATAGACCTTAAAAAAAACCCTCAAATTGCTGAGACTCATCTAAGATAGAGAAAAATCACTAACTCTAGAGGTGAGGCTTAGCACTCTGTGTTTTGACAAGTCCCCCCAGGTGCCACTGCAGAATGCTCTAGTTTGAGAACCACTGCTCCACCAGTATTATAGCATCTTATTATAGAGGCCTAAAACTGAAAGGAAAGCAGTCTTACCCCCATTTTACAGTTGAGGAAACTAAGACGAAGAGAGTCTTACTTTGTTGATTATTAAACTTAGGTCAGCCACGCTGCACACCGTGTTTCTGGTCTTTGAATTTTACTAGGAGAGTAACAAATAAAAATGCTGATTGTCTTCATTATAATAAATGTATATATTTTAACCCTGAGGCAGGTTCCCACCTGGTAGGATTCCCTGGTGATCGTTCTTCCCATCTTTTGTGGATTCACCATGTCATCCTTGTTAAAACTTGTTCCAAATATTCTCTACTTTTTCTAGCTCACAATGCTGTTTCTTCAGTAGAAGGCCTCTTCTGTGTTTTCCTAGAGATCCAGGGACAAAATAATGAAAGGCTTTCTTACATTCTGCCATTCCACTTTAGAATCTCAGTACATCTTCTTGTTCCTGTTCCTATGTTCTTTCTCCTAAGGAACAGGTGACCCTTTTCTCTGCTAAGATTGATTACCTGCACTCTTGGTTCACTAGTTGTGTTTTTCTTTTCAGTTCTTGCTCAATCAATTCTCACCTTCTCTCACCTGCAACTTCTCTCCCACACATTTGGCCCCTTAACCTCATCAACAAGGTATGTTGGGACTTTGCTTTTTCTAAAGAGGAACAACCTTCCTCAATCCTGCTACCAGCCCTCTGCCCACCGCCCCCCCAACCCCGTCTCCATTTTTAATCTTTAGTTGTCAACTTTCTTTAAAAAATAATCTAAGATTTTTTTTAATTCCTTTGCCACTCATAATAGTGATACCTTGTTGGTTTAACAGGACCGTTGAAAGTAATCAATTAACTTGTTAAAACCAGATCCTACCCCCCCCCACCCGACAACCCAAACAAATCCAAAACCTTCCTCAGTGACAGTAGTGTTTTCCCTTTAATACCTCTACCCCATTTGTTATTTGTTATCAGCCCCATCTCTGTAACAAAACTTTTCCCCAACTTGGATTTCATGACATGGAAATAACCGAGCCCATTGAGCCATCTGTTCCCATCTTTTTGGTTGTGATTTGGTGTCTCTTATTATTTATATCAAATCATTATGAACATTTTTAGAGACTCCTATGTGTCAGGTTAGTGCAAAAAAATTTAAATGAGAAAACAGTACACTGTCTTAATTCACAAAACGGTTTTATGCAGATGGTGCTATTATCCATGTTTTATGGATGCTGGGGAACAGGAAGAGACATAGTGCTAAGCTTCTGTCCTAAGGACTTTGTGTTTCTTTCTCTATTCAACCTCACTAACCTTATATTCTCCAACAACTTAACTATACATGCCCAGTGCTCTAGAAAATGAAAGCGAACACAAGCTCTAACCCAGAATCTATTTCCCCAGAGCAGGGCTTCTATTCCCGACTGTGTAAACATTCCCACCTGAACATCTTCCCCCAAACCTCTGACTAAAAACGTCTGAAGAAAACTCATTACCTGATACCCTTTCCCCAATAAACATAAAAATAAAATCCACCGACTGTACCCAACCAACCTTCTTGATTTCTCAATTCTTAACGGTGTCACCTATTTCTAATACTCCAGGCACAAAACCATAGAGATAGGTTTTTTCCATTTTTTTAAGTTTATTTATTTATTTTGAGAGAGAGAGAGCGAGCATGCACAGAAGCAAGGGAGAGGCAGAGAGAGAGAGGGAGAAAGGGAATCCCAATCAGCTTCCTTGCCGTCAACATGGAGCCCGACTTGGGGCTTGAACTCACAAACCGTGAGATCATGACCTGAGCTGAAATTAAGAGTCCGATGCTTACCCGACTGAGCCACCCAGATGCCCCAAAGCCTTAGAGATACTTTGGACAAATCTCTCTCCTCCACATAGTTGCGATATACTGTTAATTATGTCTCCTTTTAAAGGTCTCCTTTCCTACCTTTGTTCATATCTTTGTTCATACCTTTATGATCTCGTACCTGTGGCTTTGACTGCCTCCCAAGTGCTTTTACAACTCTACTGCTTTTCTGCTCCTAGGTCATCCCATTAACTTGTTTTATCAAATCTTCTTGCTGTATTTCTTAGCATGGTGGTCCTCAGCTCAGCACTTCTCAAGTGAAGTACAGTCTGCTCAAGGTAGCAGTCCTAGCACCTGCCAATCTTCCAAGCTCTTTCCTTATCTTCTTCCATGCAGTGTATGTTTTGGGCCAAGGGATCCACTGCTCCCCATACTTTTCTGCCCTTACTCTTTTGTCTTAACGGTACTTCCTTTTTAATTCTTGCCTGATGGAATCCTATCATAGTTGAAGGTTTTTCTAGAATGACTTTCCTTCTCTTTGCTTCTGTGAAGTTTCTCCAGGCCTCACTGCCTTTTGAACTCGCTGCAGTATTGTGTTTGGTAGTCTCTAGTGGGACCATAGACTACCTAATATGGTGCTTCTTGGTATATTGTCAAATTGTTCTTGCAAAGCAGGAATGGTGTCTGACTCTGTTCACCCCAGGAAAGGCCTTTACCACGATAAAGACGTGTTAACACTTGATGAACTGAAATGATAGGATGAATGTTTAAATCCAGATAGAAAACACGTCAAGAGAGAGTATCAAACCAAACTAACATAGGCTAAGTCAAAACCACATATTTTTTCGGTGCATTTACTGTATTTCTCTTTTTATTTCCTTATTCTTGGCATTTGCATTTCTTGGTTTTCTTTATCCATTAGCTTGAAAAATGATTTAACTACTTGATAATGCATACTTGAATGGTGCCATTCTCTGCTAAAGTCAACAACTAGCTCAGAGGATGAACAGTCTACTCTTTTGAGGATGTTACTCAGCATTTACTTTCTAAATGTCTGTGAATTTGTGGGGAAGTCACTGTTGATTATTTTTTAGAGCTACTCTTGAAAACACACAGCAGATTACCATTATTATATACACCTTCCTCAACATTAGTATTCCTAATAATTTCATCAATAGTGGATTATTAATGACAATGATGACAGCATTGTACATGTGGGGCATTTTATACTTGTGCACTCAGTTCACATTTCTAAGTTATTTGGCCTACACAGCATGCTGAAACCCCACGAAAGACACTGTCCCAGGGACTTGTTATTTCAGTTCATGGTACAAATAGCTAGTGGCTCAGCTGGTACTAGAAAGTGAGTTTATATTGTTTGTGTTTTGCCCACCTCCAGCCAGCACCTGAGGGACAATACGTGCTTTCAGAGACTACTGCCCACTGGGTAATGTGGTCCTTGGATAAGCATCCTCTGTCACACCATTAAACAAGCAGAGACTCTCAGGCCCCACTCCAAGCCTATTGGAACAGAATCTGAACTCTAACCTGATTTCCTCGATGATTCCTGTGCACGGCAAAATTTGAGACACACCTCTTTACCTCCTAAGAAAGGACAATGGAGGATATGTTTTCATCCCCAGGGTATTGTAGTGTGTGCGTGTGTGTGTGTGTGTGTGTGTGTGTGTGTGTGAGAGAGAGAGAGAGAGAGAGACAGAGAGAGAGACAGAGAGAGAGAGACAGAGAGAGAGAGAGAAGAGAGAAGAGTGAGAAGGGGGGATAGAGGGAGGGGGAAGGGAGGGAAGGAGAGAGGGAGGGGTGAGAAACAGAAGGGGGAGGGGATGGAGAGAAGAAAAATCCCAGTAGGACCTGGGTCCCTTAAGAGGGGGGAACATGGGTTTTGTGGAGGTGGAATTTCCCCTCATACTTACAGTAGCTTCACCCTATCACTTTGTATCTGCAATCTGAGATTGGAGGTTCACCGTTAAAAAAAAAAAAAAAAGAAAAAAGAAAAAGATAGAGGGGTGTGGAGGTGGGGGTGGGGCTGTTTTCAGGTAGACCTGTATGCAACCCGGGAAGATAAAGGACCTAAGCACAAAAGGAAAGCCCCTTTCCCGAGCCTCCTAAAGCAGCTCACTTGAGCTCATTTCTAATACCCATAGTTTCTGGATGCATTTCTGTCGCTCGCATTTCCCCTTAACACCCAGGATCCACTCACTCCATGAAAGCTAGTTCCTCTCCCCTCGGTTTCTTTCTCTCCGCTCAGCCTTCTCTCCCTTCCCTGGCACCCCCGGGCCGGCCCCTCCCTCCGCTCCAGCTCGCACCTCTCCCCAGCTGGGTGCACCTGAGGCTGGCGCGGGCTCGGGACGCGTGCAGAGCACGGCGGGCGCGGCGGAGGCAGAGGCGCGCCGACAGCCACCTCCAGCCAGCGCCCGAGGGACCACAGGAGCGGCGCTCCGGGGACTATTCTCCGCGGCAGCCGCTCACGCCTCGTGGTGACTCTCACCACCGAAGCTGCAGACCGGCCCTTGTGCGCCCCCGGGGCCAGCCAGCCCGGGCGGCCGCTCCTCCTGATGCCGGGGCCGGGGCGCAGGGCGGCCGCCGGCAGGAGGATGAAGGGCTCGGCGGGAGGAAGGAGAGAAAAACTGCTGGGGGCGCCGAAAGCTCAGTCCAGCCGCGGTAAGTTGAGCGCAAAAGAGGTGTCTCCGTGCGGGTGGCGGAGTTGGCTGCGGTGCCGGGGTTGCGCCCCCGGGCGCGGTGAGGCGTACCGAATGGGCATTCGCATAGTCCGCACCCGGGACGTCCCCCTGTCCCCTCGAACCCCACACCATCAGTCTGCTCCCTTGTCTCTTCCGCTCGGCGCCCAGCAGAGATGTGAGGCAGTGGGGGGCCGGAGTGTAGAGCGCAGAGCTTGAGGGTCTCTAGGCACCACGCGCTGACGGGGACCAAGGGGCAGAGGAAGCAGCGGCAGGGGGCGACAGGGTCAGCCAGGCTCCGGCTGGAGTCGAGGGCTGGGCCACCGAGGACGGACTCCCTGCCGCCTGTCTCCTATTGGGTGTGTGTGGGGCGCGCTCCCTCCTCGGGAAACCAGGCGAAGTTGTTGGGATAAGAAAGCACAGCGGGCTAGCTTCGTGATTGTCTTTTCTTTTCATTTTCTTCCTTCTAATTCGTCCTTTTTCCTTTCTTCCTTTCCTGCCTTTTTTGTTTCTTTTCAAGATCTCTCCTGCGGATGTACAAGATTTGAGGGCAGTGGGGATGCCACCCAGTTACAGGAAGCCTTCCTCCAGGGGAATAATTTTAACATTTCGGGTGGGGTTGGGAGGTTAAGGGTAAATCAGTGCCCCTGGATCTGATTGCCTTCCTGGTCCAGGGGATTGAGTTGGAGGAGAGAGTACAGGGTCTGCGTGCCTTTTGACTTCTTGCGTTTAGGGAGAAGTTTTATTGTGCGTGCAAATTGGGGTCAGAGGAAACCTGCGGGGCCCAACACACTGTCGCCCCTTGTGAAATGCCCAATGTCCTGTCTGCCGCCCTTACAGTTCAGACTGCTCTGCATCACATATTTCTGGGGACGATGTTTGTGTCTGCTTCAGCCTGAGCTGCAGCTAAAGTAGCAAGGAATGCGATGTTCCTGGGTGTTATGAGCGTCTCCAAATTCTGGAAGCTTGAACGGACTTGCAAGACTACTTTCTGTTCTGTAGGTGTAACTAGGGACCCTCGAGCTGGTGCTTTTTGCTGACATTCCTGTGGCGCTTTCTGGGGATGTCCTAGGGAAATGTCTTTCTCTTCTCTTGAGGCTGTTTGCTACTTGTCTGTTAAAAGCGATTTTCATGTCCATTCAGTTCTGGTTCACCACGTTCCCTGAAACCACTGGAAAGGTTTATCTCCTTCTGGGTTTTCCTGTCACCCTTGCTCCGTACTGGGTAATTTAGTCACTATCCTCTGGTCCGGAAACCTGAAAGGCAAATATGGGTCATTTCAAATTATGTTGATGGATGCAGCACAGTGTGTCTGGGGGTTGCTGCAATGTCTTCGCATTTCCTTCCAGATGTTCCTCAGAAATTAACTGGAGTGCTCTATCCATGGAGCTCAACCATAGACTAGGGGAATGGGTAAGCATCTTGAGTTAATGTATTATCTTAGATTTCAGTAAGTGAGGTGCTAGAAGCTATGTGTGTTAGGAGAAAGAAACCTGAGCCAAAATATAGGACGTCTGGACTGCTTTGCTTTGTTACAGAGTGGCTGAAGGAACTTGGGGTCATTTGACAAGAACAAGAACAGCCGTAATAATGACGCCTAACATTTTTTTTCCCCATTCACAGCACACTAAGCACTGTATGAATGCCCTTACAGCTCCTTTAAATATATAACAACCCCAGGAAGGCAACATCTTTACTTCTCCATTTTGTGGATAAGGAAAAAGGAGCCTTAGAGATGTAAAATTTGGAAAAGTTCCAGAGTTAGTGTTTTAGAACCCAAGATTGCTGGACTTCAAAGTTGATTCCTCCAATCATTACTCAACCTTGTCGAACCTCATTTGAAAAGTGGGAGGACTATCTGAGTTCTAAACCCCATGAAAAATTAGTACCACATCATAGATTGATTCATGTACAACTATTTCAAGTGTTTAACAGAAACGTCCAACTCAGACTTCAAATCAAATGAAAAATGTGTCACATTTATGTCATTTGGCTTGCCATCTGTAGAGAGGGCTAAGTGCTGAGGTCTTGGTGTTCCCCTTGACAGTGTTTCTTCTTTGAGCCCCTTTACTGTAAATCAGTAGTAGTATTGTATAGCCTTTCTCTTAACAATCTGTGATTTATAACATTAAATATACCTGATGCTAACATCACATTTGTATGACTCTCTAGAGTTATCCTGAGGTCTACCTGGACACTCTCATAGTTTAGCCAGCTTATAATTAATGCTCAGATCCTAACAGGATGTTGAATTTCTATTAAGAGATACATGCAGCTTGTTTGAAAATTTCCTTTTTATTTTCAGCAGTATTTTCAAAACAATTACACCCCCTGCTGTGATTTGCTATTTACTAGGTGCATCAAAAGTTCAGTAATGAAAAATGTTTGTAATTCAACAAAACATAGTGTCTCATCTACAATAACAACTTTGGCTAAAAGACTCACATCCAATTTAGGGCTTATTTTATCTGAAATTTAATTAAGATGTTGCATTTGTTACTGCAAAATGTATGCAGGTAGTTGAGGACACATCTTCCATTATTTTCTTGTAATCTCCAACTATAAATTCATTACTGATGAGTTCTTCAGATAATTTGTTGTGTGCTGTCTAAAGATTTTGAGGTTTTAAAACAAAGAACGAAAGCAGCAAATAGATCGTATTTGTTGTATTTCTTCATAAGCTGTAATTATGCATATCTGGGGAATAGTGATGTATTTTAAGTCACAGATCTGATTTGCCTGCACATGAATGGAATGATCAGATAAAAGTATGTAAGTCCGTTGGGATACTAATGATATTCATATCCCAGATGGGGGAACAACTTTGGAAATAGAGAATCTTTGACAAGTTATCTTACTAGGTTTCATCACACTTGCATAGTATCTTATTGTTTGTTGTCAAATAAAAGGACATTTCTCTGTTACAGTAAACTAAGTTATTCCTTTGATTTCTTTGTTTTAGGGTTAAATTGTGTTTTCTAGTAGTAACGTAGTGTTGCATAAAATTAACGTTTGTGTCCTTTCAAATATTTGAAGTCTTAAAAAATCATACTTTGTGTACTGTAAGTAATCCATTTCTGAATACATTCACAGGAATATAAAAATAGTACAGTAGTAACTTGCCTTGAGGTTTTGTTTGTTTTTTTAGAAGTAGATAATGAGGTTGTTACAGTGGTTAACATATTTAACCTTCGTAACGAAGTATTGAAATTAATTGTAAATATGAATTTTTGAACTGCAAAATATTTTATGATGAGTCTTATAAGTGGGTTAACCTTATAATCACATGAACATCTGTTAGGTGTTTGACAATTTTTTTTGTTTCATATTTGCACGATAGGATTTTAGTTTATGTGCTATTATTTGGTGATTTGAACAACCAGATTTCTGGAAAATGATTTAAGCTCTATAAGCATCTGAGTCATATTGGTGTCACAGAGCAAAGAAACTGATATTGGGGAAGGAGTTTTAATTTTGAATGTTGCAAGGGCTTAGAGCTCAAGGTAGATGACACTCCTTGGTTTTTTGACCAGCCTCTAAAGAGAGACTTTGAATAAAATAAAGCCTGTGGGTTGAACATTAAGCAAGCACTTGAGTAGGCTCTTTGGAAACCTAGATCAGCTCAAATGGAATTATGTGCCTCAAATTTGGTGTAATTAATTCGAACAAGTAATTAACAAACACATTTGAGATCCTTAAAAAAACTCCAGTATGTTAAAAATGCATTAATTTACATAATCTACGGCTTGCTAAGATTGGCAATAACTCCTGTTTGTGGATTGACCCATCCTTAACTTTAAAAATAAAGTCCAATGAGAAAGAACTTTACGGAAACCGAGAAGCAGAGATGAATCAGATTTCTTCACAAAGTCTTTATCGCATTTGAAATGTGATGGTAATCAAATCCAGGTAATTCTGTACCACTTTTAGTATTTTGCAGAGACTGAGAATGGGATTCAAAGAGTATCTTTTTCCTAACCTACTGATGTACGGTAGAGAATACTAGAACACAGTTTTAGAGTGACGATAGAGTGCTCTAGGCCATTTAATGATTTTATTACTTTGTAGTGTCATCCAACCATGCGTTTCATTTTTTGCCTTATTTGAAACACAAAGTGGCAGTCCACTCTGATCTCGAATTATATGTACCACAGCTGGCAAACATACAGCATTTCTAAACTGGTCTCTTGGGGCGCCTGGGTGGCGCAGTCGGTTAAGCGTCCGACTTCAGCCAGGTCACGATCTCGCGGTCCGTGAGTTTGAGCCCCGCGTCGGGCTCTGGGCTGATGGCTCAGAGCCTGGAGCCTGTTTCCGATTCTGTGTCTCCCTCTCTCTCTGCCCCTCCCCCGTTCATGCTCTGTCTCTCTCTGTCCCAAAAATAAATAAACGTTGAAAAAAAAAAATTTAAACTGGTCTCTTAAGTCAGAGATTTGCAGTAAAGGAGAGTTCTTAACTTTGCCTCTATGTAATTATGTAGCCCGTCTTCTGGCACACAGTACTAATCTTGGCATATCTTGATTACCCATT